GATGGGGGTGACAGGGATGGAGGTGATGGGGGTGACGGTGGTGATGGAGGTGATGATGGTGATGATGATGGTGGTGATGGAGGTGACAGTGGTGATGATGGTGATGGTGGTGATGGGGGTGATGGGGGTGATGGGGATGGAGGTGATGGTGGTGACAGTGTTGATGGGGGTGGTGGTGCTGATGGTGATGGAGGTGATGATGGTGGAGGTGATGGAAGTGATGTAGGTGATGGTGGTGATGGGGATGGAGATGATGATGGTGCTAGAGGTGCCAGAGGCGGTGCCGGTGATTCCGGGCGCTCTCTCTCCGTGGCCCCCGAGTTCCAGCCCCCCTCCGTTCCCTCCGGCAGATCCCGCCGTGCCAACGCCAGGAGGGGCTTCGTCCTCGGCCCCCGCGGATTCCGGACATTCCCTCCACATTTGGGGAGAATCCCAACGGCCCCTCCATCTCCACCCGCTCTCCTATGGGAACGGGACGTGTCCGTGTCTGCCGGAATTCCCGGATTTCGGAGGTTCCCAACCCCTCGGATCGTCGGGGACGTTCAACCCGCGGCTTCCCAGGATTCCTTGGGAATGCCGCCCGCCCACCGGGACAGCTCCGGAGGGAAGAGGCTCCTCTGAGCTTTGCCAAGTTGGGCTTTACCAAGTTGGGATCTGTTGGGCTTTGCCAAGTTGGGCCTTTCCCAAGCCGGGCTTTGCCGTCGCGCCGTCCCTCCGGAGAAGCCAAAAGCTCCCCGTGGAGGGGCTGGAAAACCCCAGCGGGATTTCCCGTGTTTTGGGAAAACTGAACCCCCCCCCCGGAAGAGCCGAAGCCCCTCCCAGGCTTTAGCACCGGGATCGAGATCGGGAGGGATTTGAAGCCAAAAAGGAGCCGCAAAAACGACCCCAAAAAAAACCCAAAACCCCCTGAGAAGGGAAGGGGGAGCAGCTGGGGGGGATCCCAAAAAACCCCCAAACCCCCCGAGGGGTGAAGGGGCAGCACCCGGGGGGGGGACCCGCCGTGTCTGGGAGTGCAGCGGGAACCGATTCCGGGGGGATTCCCGCTGGATTTGGGAACACGAGGACCAGAAGCCGCCGGAGGAGCCGAACTCAACTCACCCTTTTCCCTCTTCCCGGGGTTTTAGAGCCCGGATCGGGATCCCCCCGAGGAGCCGCCGTGTCCCTCCTGGACTAATTAAGGAGCTGGATTGACGAGCCGGGGGCTCTTCCTGCCCGGAAAACCAAACCCCTTCTTGGGCTGAGAACTCCCAGGACTCGGGGCTTGAATCGACTTCCCTCTGCAGAGTAATTAAGACAAGGAGGTTAATTGGGCTCGAGCAGCCCCCCGGGGGGGGAATTTCTCTTGGATTTGATGCTCTTTGGTCCCAACTCTTTTCCTGCTCTGTTTTTTTTTTTATTTATTTTTAGGGTTTTGTTTGTGTTTTTTTTTTCCTGCCAAAAAAAAAAAATAATTCCAGCGATGGGACGGAGCCGTTTGAGAGCCTCGTTTGTGGTTAATTAATCCCCGTTTGTGGTTAATTAATGACGGGTTTTGGGGGGAATGTGGCTCCCTGAGCCCTCCTGTCCCGCTCAGGAAAGGAAGAAAAGGCCAGAACGGATCATTTTGGGCGGGTTTTGGAGCATTTTGGGGGGGTTCCAACGCGGGGCTGGGTTGTTTTCCTGGATTTCACCTCAGTTTTCCTGGATTTTGCCTCGGTTTTCCTGGATTTCACCTCGGTTTTCCTGGATTTCCCCTCGATTAGTGAGGCTGAACCTGTTTGTCCCCCATCCCGGCCCGGCTCCCATCCGGAATTCCAAAACAATTCCTGCCAGAACCGTTTCAAAACAACGACCAAAATCAGCCAAAATCCCCTTTTCTTCCCCCTTTTTGTCCCTTCTCAACCCCCTGAAATCATCCCCAAAATGACAATTAGCCCTTAAAATTAATGTTATTTTTATCCCTGAAGTCGCCCCAATCCCATTTTTCCCCCGTTTCATCTCATCCCCTTAAGTGCAAATAAACCCGTCTTTAATCAATTTTTAACCATTAATAAACCCCTTGGGTTCCTCCTTCCCCTCTCCCCCTAATTAGCCCCTCCCAAAATTAACAATTCCCGCCAAAACCGTTGCCAAACCCCGTGGATTCGTCCCCAATTCCAAGAACTGTGACTCATCCAGGCCGGGATGTGACTCCACACCCACTGGGACCTTTCCGGGGATCTTTATCAAGGAGTTAATCAATGACTAATTAATTAATGTGTCCTATTAATTAATTGAGTTCCTGGTTATCCCGGGATTTCCGGGAAGTGGATTGAACGCCCACGGCCGGACGAGCGCCAGGAACAGCCGGGGATTAAACCGGGAGGGGCTGACCCGGGGCTGACCTGGGAAAAAAAGGCAAATTCCCACAAAACAGGGGAAAAAAACCACCAGGGGGAGCGTGAAAATAAGGAGGAAAAATAAAGAGGAGTGTGGGATTCACTTGGAAGTGTGGGATTCACCTGGATGTGAGGAATTCTCCAGGGAGCTGCTGTCGACCCACGCTCACCGTGGGGTCTCTGGGATGAATTTTGGGATATTTGGTTGATTTGGGTTCAATGAAAAGGAAAGAGAAATCGAGAAAAAAGCTGGTTTTTGGCGGGAATTCCTCGGGATGGAGAGGCCGGGAGGGGCTGGGTGGGGTGAGCTCATAACCAGCCCTTGGGAATCTCATTCACCCCCGGTTCTCCCCTTTCCCCCCTCACGTTTCCCCTCCCGTTCTCCCCCTCGTTATCCCTCATTTTCCCCTCACTCTCCCCCCTCATTTTCCCCCTCGTTCTCCCCGCACCCTCATTTACTCCTTTTCCCCCAAAATCCCCCTCAGCCCCTTTTCCCTCCCTTTCCCATTTTCCCATTTTCCCCCCATTTTCCCCCCTCGTTCTCCCCGTACCCTCATTTACCCCTTTTCCCCCCCATATCCCCCTCAGCCCCTTTTCTCCCATATCCCCCTCAGCCCCTTTTCCCCCATATCCCCCTCAGCCCCTTTTCCCTCCCTTTCCCATTTTCCCATTTTCCCACTTTCCCCCCATTTCCCCCCTCATTTTCCCGCCTTTTCCCCGCGCATGCGCACACGGCGCCCCCGCGCGGCCGGGGGGCGCTCAGCGCGACCCCCCCCC